ATCAAGGACAGACATTAGAAAATATTATTCACATCCCTCACCGCCTCACAATAATTAGTTATTAAGATTATAGGATAGTTGGATGTAATATATAAATGATTGTTTAATTTTAATATCACTTAAATTCATAATGCTGAGTTTATTAGAGGTCAGGTTTATATTGGGTCAATATTTACTATTATTATTAACAATTGCACTAAATTTTGATCCCTGAAATCTTTGGTAATACCAATGTTCACTTTGTCTGGTTTTGTTGCAGCATACCCCATATAATATTAGAAATTCTTATAAATAAAATAGTTAGTTTGTACATTAACAAATAAATTATTAAAAATAAAATCCGTTGGCTCCATTGGTTCCAGTGATTCATTGATTCCAGTTTTTCCAATGGTCCCAGTGTTCCATTGGTGTTCCAGACATACATGTTAGCCAAAATTAGTTTTGCACTTGCCAAATCTTTTGGCAACATTCTGGCTTTTCCATATTCCCTATATTAATGGTCATAAAAAAGCCACCAGAGCTTTGGCTATAGTGTCAAAATCTCAGGAATGGTTTTTTGCTCAATTAATTTGGGACTACTATGAAAAACTATTTTGGCATTTTGAATTTGGCAATGATCATTCACTAACAGAAGTAATTTTGGCTAACATGTATGGTTCCAGAAAAAGTCACTGGAATATTGGAATTGGAACTAGAAATTTATTCCAGTAGGTTAAAATTGTTATTATTAACACTAACAATTAATGTTCTTGTTAATATTTAATTGAGTCAGATATCATTATTCCTATTATGTCTTCATTATTATTATGTTATCATTACATAGTTAAACTTGACAATTGATTGAAAGGTATTATTAATATTGATTACTATATTAAAATATAAAGAATTAAATATTTTTTGGTAAAAAGGATGAAATTCCAACTATTGCTCTACTGTTGATGGATGGATATGTAATCTCCATCATATATCTCTCACTTACCTGAATCTATCTAGATACATACCCTGTCGAATGTCTGCAGGCATAGGGGTTGGAAGTGGAATTAAAAAGCATGCAAAACGAGGGGTGAGGAAAAATGAGAGACAGCACAGAAGATATTGTCTGTGGGAATGACAAATGAATATAGATCTTCAAAAACCTGTTCCTATTGTTTCAACAAGTATGATTAGCTCATTCTCAGTGCAACATTGAGGGCAAGATTCAAAACACATGCACATATTTCCTTTAAGTGTGGCTATACATTTAAGCCCAGAGATGTAAGTGCTTCTGTCTGCATTGCAATTGCTGATGCCTCCAATTTCCTTCCTTCTTCAAGTACAAGATCCTGTGCACCAGAAAAATTACTCACATTTCCAATACTGAATAATAGAAGTCCTCTATACCCAGAAGGAATTAATTGGTTTAATAAATAATTGACCAACTGGTCAACTAGTAGTTGATCAAGGGTTTTTTGACTAATTCCCAATCTCTAACTTAGAAAAAACAATTATTGAAGTTAGATACACAGAAATTCGTTATTTTCTATTTTTTTACAACTATATTTGTAATATTTTATTCAAAAAGAATATACAATCATCATCATCAATGATAATTAATTACATTATTTGAAATTGTGGCAACTTGTTTAAGATCTAAATGATTGATCACCATGTAATAGATGTTTTTACCAAATCCATTGCTGCAAATCTAAAGGCCACTCATTCACTTATTTTAGATGAAATTCCAGAAAACTCCAGTTTTAGGGACTTGTGAGACCCTTTTTTTAAAAAAAAAGATTTGTTCAATTCAAAAGATTAAATTGGGTTTTTGGAACATCAATCCTTCATTTATTTGTAAAATTAAAAAAGAAATGTAATAACTATTATTATTAATTTAAAATATATTATTTCAGATAGACTTATCATTATTTTCTAGATTTTTTCAGAAACATCAAGAATTTTCAATCCTAAACCTTTATTTAAAGTTTGATTTAATATACTTTTTAATTTCTCATTATCATTTTTTAAATTTTCAAAATTTATTCTCATTTGCTCTTGATCATTTTCATACATGTCAATATTTGAATTTATTTCTGATATCTCTTCCCTTAGTTTTTCTATTGTAGTATCCAAATGATTTTGACGTTCCTTTGAATTTTTATATGATCTTTTTTTTTATAAAATAAGAAATTATATATGTGTTGTAATATATATTAATTAAAATTCATTAAAACCAACCTCCTCTGTTCCCATATAATTAAAGAACCAGCAACTCCAAATGATATAATTCCATTCTGTGTTCCATTTTTCCGTTCTTTGCACCATTTTAAATGTTTCTGATGATTTTTTTCTGAAACGAAAGGCTTTCTTGATGCAATCCGACTGTAATAACCTACTTCATGAAGATAATTACAAACAGTTGTAGTAGAGATGGAAGTGGACAAAGATTCATTTACTGAATCAGTAATTTGTTCAATAGGTTTATTTCTATTTTTTTTAGTAATTCTTTTTACTTGTCTAACATCACGATCATTTAAGGCTGGAGGTCTTCCACTCCTTGAAGCAATAGTAGTTTGATGTTCTTCTTTAAATGCTTTTATTGCATGAGTTACTTGCGACTGAGAATGATTGAGTGCACCAGCAATGTCACGGGTGCTTTCACCTGCTTCCCAACGCCCAATTATTCTTCCTCGTTCAAAGTCTGTTAATTGAGACATGGTGTTTTAATTGAAATAACAAATTGAAAGTTCAATCTTTTTTTTTTAAAAAAAAAACTAGTTTTGGTTAGATATTTATATATAAAGTTGTTAATTATTCATATATACTTTTGTTAAATATTTAATTTATTTATAATTTTAGATACATCATTTGTTTATATTTAATATTGATGATTTTCATGATATTCATGAAAAAAGAAGGCCAGATGCTACATTTTTATCAACAGTAAAACATTTTGCAAGTTGTATAGCTAAAAAAGTTGAATGCCATCCAGTATCAGCAATGAATGAACAAGTTTCAATACATAATCCTAATAATATAGAAGCCCATAAAATCCAACATTATCTTATTAATAAATATAAAGGAACCTTTGATATTAGTTACCAATCCAGAAAAAATGAATGGATTGCCAAAGATTTACATATATTTAATTCTTTTGACAATGATGATCTTCTTAGTATACATGTATATAATGATGCTATTAAAGGAAAACATGAAGAAAGATCAATGAAGGATGTTAGAATTTAGGCTTGCAAGAAAGAAGTTTACATTCTTTAGAAGATTATATTGAAGCCGCTTCAATGATTACAGATATTTTGAGTTATCAGAATATCTCCTTCAGAATGTCATACCTGTTGTGGCAGATTTTCCTGATCAATTGTTCATTCAAAAAGCCATTACTCTGTTGAATAATCAAGGTGAAACAAATATTCCAAAAATTATGCAAAATTTTGTACCTCTTTTAGGACCTCTTCATGTCTCTTTAAATTCATGTGAGCAAACATTGCTTGTCCATTATAATTTTTTTGAAAAAATGTTCCATTATGTTTTTGGTAATTCCAAAGTATTAGCAAAAAAACCTAAGCCATGGAGAATCAATTTGTTATTGGAATTAGCTACTAAGGGCTGGAAAAAAATCTCCAAAATTATTATGCATAAATTTGGAAATAGCAAAGATGTGGAATATAGAATGGCACTTGACCTTTTAGATAATATAATCCCTGCAACTCTAGATATTTATGTGATTCTTTTTCATTCTGGTAAATTTGAAGAATATTTAGAAACATTATTTAGAATCTGGACTTTTGCTCTTAGGTGGAAAAGAAAAAATTATAATAAGATTATACTGGCATTTATTTCAGATTATATATACTGGAAAGAAAATCAACATCCTTTTGCAAATGTGTTGGAGAATCATCTTGTTAATTTCAATGAATATTATGTTGAAAATTTTCACAGCAGGTTACATGCTAATATTAATGTAAATCAAAATGCAGAATCAATTATTAATCAGGCATTAGTAATTGGTAAGTTCAAATATATATATATATATATATATATATATATATATAATATACAAACATTAAGAAAATGAACATACTAATTTTTTAATGAACTTCTTTAGATTCCCATAAATCAGTTTTTGTTGATACCTTTAAAAAACCATATATTTACCCATATAAGCCTAATCAGCTGGAATTTCTTGTTAAAAAAACCAGTATATTTTTATTATCTTATTTCCAAGAAATTTATAAAAATATTGGCAAAAGTTATATGCTTCAACCTGATCAAGTTAATCCACCCTTTTCAAAAAAATCACCTCCATATTATTTAGCTTCACTTAATTGCATTGTGGATATAAAATGCTTACCAACTGGTTATCATACATCATGTATACCATCTCTTAATATTTGTGGTCATTGTAAAGAAGCATTTTCTGATAATGTTGATGACGTAATAATTTTAATTTGTGGACATGGTTATCATTTAGCATGTTATAACACATTAGGAAGAGTCTGTAGATACTGTGAAAATTATTATAAAAAAGGAATTGATGAAAATGTTAAAAAGTTTGTAAAAAATTTAAATAAAAACAAGAACACAATTACAGAAGATATAGAAATTGATAACCTGCAGGATGAGAATGATGATGATGATGATGATGATGACAGTAACTCAAATATTGGCTCTGATAATTCTCACAATACTTTGGATGAATTACAAATAGCAATAGACAATCTAATAAATTGGTGATATTATCACTACCAATAAATGTCATAAATTATAATTAGTGATATCATTTATTCATTAAAAATTAATTTATAATAGTATTTAAATAAAGAATTAACCTTAGTCTTAATTGATAAAGTGAAGAAGTAGTAAATTTGGAGTTTGAAAACGTTGACCTTGAAAAAATATTTAATGTTAAAATATAAATTGTACTCAATTAGTGAAACATATTGCTTATAATATTTATTTGTGAGGATTTTATTAACCAAACATGAATAATATTTTTTCTTTCCTTTTTTTTATATCCAAACATTTTCATGAATCAATTTTGTCTTTTGTTATATATATATATGTAAGATGCAAATATTGTTATGTGTTTTAGAGTGTCCCTCTCTCAAGCAAAACACTCTCACTTATTACCCAATGATTTGAAAAGAGTAATTGATATGTGTAAAATCGTAAAACGCGTCCCTATAATAACTATATATAATAAATAAATTTATTAAATTTATTGATCTTGAATGTATTGATTTCAAAAATAATAAAAACAATAAATATTTTAATATTAATATCAATATTAATGAAACAAATACCTTGTTGAATAATATGATAAAAAACAAATATTATAATGGGTTAAGAGTCACCAAAATTAATGTATACCAGTATTATATATTCTTTAACTATTACTTTCTTATAAACTTTGGTTCTTAGCTAACTCCTCCAGGAAAGTGATGGAAAATGATGGAAGAAAGTTGGTAATATAAAAAAATATGAAAAATACGACTATAAAGTTGGTTTGACAATTTTGATAAAAAGTTTTTACGTCACATTAAGGTCAAACGTCCAATTGAAAAGTACTTTAAAATTACCATTACACAATATAAAAAAGATCGACATTTTAAGTCACATTCGTGATAATTACGAAATTCCACTATGCTTGTGACACATTAATTATTATTATATACAAAAAAAACTTTTTTTTTTTAAAAAAATAACAAATTTTAAAATGAAATATTATGGGCAATGCCCTGAAGAAACTTTATAGTTGATCTAACATTACAGTCATTTAATACTGTTTGAATCCATATTTCATGATTATGATCTTGTGGTTTCTGTGGAGGTCGTGATGTTCCTTGCAAGACCATTTCTATGTCAAGTTTGACTTTACTTTGATTGTTGGTAAAGTGTCCCAGACCCCTGTAACCCTACCCCATTTGAATATTTGTAAATCCAAAAATTTCAAATTTCAAATATTATGAATATTCAAAATAAATACAAGTATCTGAAATAATTATGAATGTCTAAATATCCAAAATAATTACAAATATTTGAAATAGTTACAAAATAAATTGTATATATTCAAATATCCATTTCAAAATTTTTCAAGGTTGTATTTAATTTTTGAGTATGTTTGTATGGTTTAAAAATGATAATTGTCACCCAGTCCCAGATTTCGATGGGCTTAAATGTAGGATATTGACTCAATTGCCACCAGTATCAAGTCTGCAAGTTTACAGATTATCTGTATGGAAATTGTTTCATCTTTTGCTTCTTACTAATTTTCAAAGGCAAGATGATCCTTTGTATTACAGCAGATGTTATAGCAATATCACAGACAAAGCATGGTAGTCATTTTAAATTAGCATTGGTTTTCAAAACTAAAGAGTTTTTTCAACTGTGTGAAAGTCAAAAGGTTTCGCCACAAGTTGAAACTAGTTTTGACATAATTTTCAATTTTAGTTTGACTTTCGCCCCCTTCAAAATAGTTTTGGTGACCAACAATATGGAGTGTGGACAATAGAAACAGACCATGTTGTGAAAAAGCAATTTTGAGTTAGTATCACTATTATATGTAATTCCTCATGTAGAACATTTGTGGCATAGAAACCATACCCACTTTGCTTAATAAAACTTTGAGATACCCTCCATTAAAGTTTTAAAATCAATAGTAAATTACTTGAAATGCAGATCTTTTTTTTAAATTTTCTCAAAACATCATTTTCACAACATGGTCCGTTTCTATTGTCCAGGCCCCATATAAGAAAATTTTATTCAACATTCGTTGTATATTATTATATATTTTTTTTTGGGGGGAGGCGAATTAATTTTTTCTTTTGTCCCAGGATCCTTTAGCAACCACGAGAGCTTATAGTATTCAATTGCTTCTGATTAAACCAGCATTCTTCAGAATTCTTAATGTTGTTGATGTTTTTAAATTGCGACGAATGAATGAGTGGTAGTGGTTAAGATGAAAATAACAGCATTTTGGTCCATCCATCTATTTTATTTAGTAGATTCTTTTGATAAAATTCATGCTAGTACTAATTTTATTTACTATTAGCGTTTGTGCTTCTTGGTGAAGATTAAAACTATAAGGGTCACTAGTCTATCCCATATACACTAATTTTTTTCATGATCCCTTGTTGTAATTTAACATTGATTTTGGATTTTGGCAAGCTCAATAGGATTGTAATATGTATAAATATTGGAACTACAAACACAATTTCTCTCGAGAGAAAAGAGAT